GCTGCTACCTCAAGGTCGGCAGTTTGAAACTACCAGACATTCTGCGGAAGAAAGATGAGGCTTTCTGCTCCTGTAAAGATTTACAGCCTCAGAAACCCTGTGCAGGGTCACCATGAGTCGGAACCAACTCCACGGTACTTAACAACATATATATTTGATTTGAACCACAAGGTCGGTGGCTCAGACTCAGCAGCCGCTCCTCAGAAACCCTATACAGGATTGCTATGAGCAACAATATAGATGTCTATATCTTGCACTCTTCCTCCCATACCCATTCAGCATGTTTCTCTGCAGAACATTGTTGTTCCAAGTTTATATATATATACTCTATCCCCTTTAGCCCTTGTATACCTCCCTGTGTCTTCACTTGTCTTCATCATTCTTCTGCCAACCTTCCTCTTCTTGTTTTTAAAACACTGTTTTTAAAAGGTAAAATGAAAGATTGGTTTCCTGTTTCTTAATACTAGGGTGAAGGGACTAAATTACAGGTTTGTTTCTTGTTCCCTTGGCCTCCTCCCCTCTATACACTCCCTCTATCCCTAGTCCAGTTTCTAGGCTCTGGTTAGGAGTAGAAATTGGATAGGCAACCTAACACAAGTCGAAGAGATCTGCCACCCTCAAAGTGTTACACGTATATCCAGCCCCACAACTAGCAGAAGAAGAGGGATTGGGAAAGTGTGTCTTGTAGAAAAGAAAAAAAAAAATGCAGGAAAGAAATAAGTAATGTCCTGAATTTGGGCTAAAATATTCCATTCCTATCAGTTTGTTACAGGGGACTTGAAATGGTACTTTGTAGTTTTGTATGATACAGTTTGGAATGCAGGAAGCAAGGCAGTTTGATAAATAGTTCCCCAAAGAAGCATTTAGAAGCTCTCTGTTCTTCTTTGTTGACTTCCAACCTAATGGATTTGTAGTTGGCCGATAGCAGCAGTGTGCACTTTTCTCACCCAATTTTATTTATTTATGTATTTTGGTAGAAGTCTTGTTTATGTTATAACCTGTAGTGGCTATATTACTGTCATTTTAAATGAATTCGTAAATAAGTATTCCAAACTTTTATCTACCTTTTCATTTCTGAAACTTAAATTTCCATGTGATAGATCCCACATACACAAAAGCTCTTTGAGATCGTCAATAACAGTTAAGAAAGTAAAGGAGTTGTATCCGTTTGGTTGTGGTAGTGTGCTGTCAAATCAGTTCCAACTCATGTTGACCCCACGTGACAGTAGAACAGTCCCGGAGGGTTTCCTAGACTGTAACCGTCATGAGAACACATCAGCAGGTCATTTCTCCCTTTTTGTGACTGGTGGGTTTGAACTGCTGACCTTTTGATTATCAGATGAGCTCTTAACCAATTATGTCTTAAGGCTCCATTAGTTGTCTAATGCATTTTAAAACATCACTGCAAAAGTTAATGATAGAAAACAATAGCCATTTATTGTCTCATGGTTTCTGTTGGTCAAAAATTTGTGTCTTAACTCGATGGTTCTTGGCGTCCCTAATGATATTGCAGTCAAGGCATTAGCTTGGGCTGCAGTCATCTGAAGAATGGAGACTTCATGTCCAAGTTAGTGCTGGTATGGGATGGAGTGCTTAGTTTCTCATCACTTGAACCTCTTCCTAGGTTTGCCATATTCTTTCGATCAGTAAGCCCAGGACATACTCAAAACCAAACACACTGCCATCAAGTTGATTCCAACTGATAGGGACCCTATGTAGAGGTTCCGAGAATGTGAATCTTTAATGGAACAGTCTTTGCTTTCTCCCGTCAAGTGGCTGGTGGGTTTGAACTGCCTACTTTGCAGTTAGCAGCCCAACACCTACCTCACAAAGCCACCAGGGCTCCTTAGTCCTTACTCACAGGGAGGGAAATGTAGTTCCATTTCTTAAAGTTGTGTCCTATTTTAAAAACCACCACCGGAACACCAACACCAAAATGTTGGAGAACCATTTTCCTGTAGAATATGAATGATTTGGGGGAGCATTTGCCTTTTATTATTGTTGTTAAATGCTGTTGAGTCAGTTCTGACTCATCACGACTTTGTATATGGTTTCCAAAGAATGGCTGGTGGGTTTGAATTACCAGCCTTTCGGTTAGCAGTACAGTGCTTATCCTCCAGTGCCACACTGGGACTCTGGGAAAATAAAATTAGACCATTTGTCAAGACTTTATCTAGCTCCTGCCTGTCTTTATTCATGGTTTTTGTCACTGTGTTCCTCTTCACTTGAACCACCTAAGGAATTAACCTGAGTCCAACAGTGTCGGAGTCCTGGTGTGGCACTGTGGGCTAATACGTCAGACTGCAAAGCCATTTGAACTGCAAGTTCGGTGGTTCAAGCTCACCAGATGCTCTTAGAAAACATTACAGGGTCATTGTGGGTCGGAATTGACTAGAAGGCATTTAACAACTACAACAGAGTCATCAGTCTTTAAATTGTGGAAACCCCATTGCACATTTAGCTAAAGTGAATCATATGCATGTGTGTATTACTTTTTTCAATTCAGCAGAAGTTTACTCAGTATTTATTAGGCATCATAAATGAGCCCTGGTAGCACAGTGGGTTCAGCACTGGTCTGCTAACTGAAAGTCTAGCAATTCGAACCCATCAGCGGCTCATGCCTTGGACAGATGAAGCAGTCTGCTTTTGCAAAGATTTGCAGCCTCAGAAACCTGTAGGCCAATTCCACTCTGTCATATAGGGTTGCTGTGAGTTGGCATCGGTTTGATGGTAGTGGCCTATGTGCCAGATTATATGCTAGGTACTAAAAACACAAACACAATGCCTGTTCTCTAGTTCAGTCTAACAGGGAGGTAGACCAAATCAAGTCATTGCATATCAATTTTTATAAACACTAAAAATAATGTTTAAAGTCTCGAGGCAGCTGAGAGGGAAACAGAACGCTCATGCTCACTAAGCTGTGGTGGCGGCTTCCTGGAAAAGAATCACATTTGGAAGCTTTTTCAAAGTAAACATACCACCTTAGCTGAACCTATGACCCTAAACACATTTAGGAAAATGTAGGTTTAGCAAGGCCTCTCAGCAGTCATGGCTTCTACTTGGAGTACTGTGAGACTTGTCCCCTTCGACAGTACTAGGAAGAGAGAGTGATAAATGGGTTCTTGGCTGGGCACCCAGACTTGGAACTTTGTTTATATTCATCTTTTCTTTAGTAGCGAACCCCAAAGGGTGTCTGATTTCATTGAATTCCCTTAAACTGGGCTTGAAAACTGTCTTAGGGAGAGAGAAGTAAGGTGGATTAAGATGATCTCTTCTTAAATGCCCTAACCCCTGCATTCTGATG